CGAACGAGTTATCGATTAACTACTCATACAATTCTCCAGTAACGATGTCAACCATATATATGGCCAAGATGTAATCAATAAGTTTTATGGATACGGATTAGATAATTGTCATAAATTGATGGTTTTTCATAACAAGAGCTCAATGCGTTAGTAAATCTCCTACAAAACTCACTATAGATTTTCACAACACGGCATCCGCCTTGTTTCATATATCATGTATGTATTACACTTTCTTATATGCAAAATTTTCAGTAAAAGAATACTAGCAAGCAAGGCTACAGAGGTGACAACTGTACACGAGCGATTATTATTTGCGTTTGGCGTGGGAGGTTTCCTTTCCACGCCGTCTTTACTGTGTTGTCCTATAAAATAAAAGTAAATAAATTATGTTCGACGTTTTGAGCTAAAATTTTATTATCCATCATCGGCTTGTGTACTACGTAATTTTTCTACCGCTACCTGACTTGACCTTACTAAGCTAAAACCTAAGCAAAAGGATAAAAATTGAGGTAAAATTGTTTTGCTCCTATTAGGAAATCTATGTTTTGGTAATTGCAGACAGACCGACAGATCTGATGATGTAGGGTCAAACGAAGAGAGTGTAAGATCATTGTGCGTCTAGTCATTTAATGGAAGGTAAACGTATGAATTAGAAATAAACTGAAGTGAATATTCAAATAGAGTGAATGTTCAATAGAGAAGTATTGTATGGAGGCGCACCGAGGGATTTAGCTATGCTAATCAGTCTAGCTTGAATTAACCCAGTAGAATAAACAGTAATTATAACAAGCAAATTTTCCTGGGGGGGCCCTGGTTTACGCAGCGAGTGTTACACCAGTGTAGCTAGATGGACATTAAGGTACAATTTTATTAACAAAGTAAAAGTTTACGTCCTCACAACTGTTATAGTAGTAGTGATCGAGACTATATGCACTTCAATGCATCAATTTTTGTGAATTACAAATACTTGCAACTTTTTTACCGTTTGTGATAACTACAACGGCAGATAAAGTTCGTCTTATATGCATTGTGTATACACTATTAAGAATATGTGTTTTTTTTTGATTTGAGTTTTCGTGAAAATTAGTCGGCTTTTTAAGAAACTAAATTCTAAAGAAATGGAAAATTAAATACACATTCAATGCGCGTTACCCACGTCATACAGCTGGACTGGACTGGAAAGAAGATCATCAACAATTGGTAGAAATTAACCGTTCGACTCGTAAAAACGAGTTGCGACAATCGAGTTAAGAGAATTGTGTAGCAATGTTCGAACGGAGAAGGCCAGAACGAGAATTAAACCGTTATAAATGTAAGTGTCTGTAAATAATTTGTAAGTAGATCCCCTACTTTTATAAATAAAACCTATACAATCTTAACAATCCCAATTCAGCGGTACGAACTTCATTTCAAAAAGCGTTGAATAAATAACGTAAAATTCACAAAAGACGGATTTACGTTGCAATGTATACTGAAAATTGGAACCTTAGCCTTCACGTCCTTACGATTCCCATTTTTGGTTGTGTTCTCATTCAAAGGACAAGATAATATCCTTCATTATACCTTACACCATTCGTGGCATAGGGCTTATTAAGGTCTTGCACATGTATATAGCTTGCAGGAAAACTTCAGAAGGAATGACAAGCAGATATTAGTTTGGGGAAAAAGAAATCCATTATTTTTTCGGTAGATGGCTGCACTGATAGATTTCTCGTAAAGTATTGATCAAACAATTTCAGATTTATGCTCGTTGGAAAGGTGACATTTCGCAGTAAAAAAAATTCTTTTGCTGTTTTTTGTTTGGTGCATTCAGTTGTGAGTTACAGCGTGTTAAAAATGGAAGTGAACAAAGAGAAAATTCGGTACATTTTACAGTTTTTCTTTGACAAAGGCGAAAATGCAAGCTAAGCGGCTAAAATTGTGAATGGGGTTTATGGTTCCGATACTGTAACAGCCAATTATGTGCAATTTTGGTTTCGTAGATTCCGTTCAGGAATTTTTGATGTTAAAGATGCACCTCGCACAGGTAGGCCGGTCGACGAAAATGTCGATAAAATCGGAGAAATGATCGAAGTTGATCGGCATGTTAGCAGTCGTAACATCACCCAGGAGCTAAAAATCGACCATAAAACAGTTTTAAACCATTTACACAAAGCTGGATTCAAAAAGAAGCTCGATGTTTGGGTGCCACGCCAATTAACAGAAAAAAACATGATGGATCGAATTTCCATCTGCGAAGCCTTGGCCAAACGGAATGAGATAGACCCATTTCTTAAACGGATGGTGACTGGAGATGAGAAATGGATCACATACGATAACCCTGTGCGAAAACGATCGTGGTCAAAGAGCGGTGAAGCACCTCAAACGGCCAGGAAGGTTTTGCTATGCATTTGGTGGGACTGGAAGGGGATTATTTATTATGAGTTGCTTCCATATGGCCAAACGCTAAATTCTGATCTCTACTGTCAACAACTGGACCGTTTGAAGATAGCGATTGACCAGAAACGGCCAGAATTGGCCAACAGGAGAGGTGTCGTGTTCCACCAGGACAACGCTAGGCCACACACATCTACAGTGACTCGCCAGAAACTTCGGGAGCTTGGTTGGGAAGTTTTAATGCATCCGCCGTACAGTCCGGACTTGGCACCAAGCGATTATCATCTTTTTCTTGCATTGCAAAATTTCTTTAATGATAAAAAATTGGAATCTAGGGAGGATTGTGAAAATCGACTACTAGAGTTTTTTGCAAATAGAGACCAGGACTTCTATGAGAGAGGCATTTTGAAGTTACCTTTAAAATGGCAACAAATCGTACAACAAAACGGTGCATATTTGACCCAAATCGGACAATGCGAAGCATGTTAAATAAAGTCCTGAAGTTCATATAAAAACAATGGATTTCTTTTTCCCCAAACTAACGCGCTTGTTCGAAGTTTTTAAAATGCGGATTTGTTTTGTCCCAAGCATCAATTCTATTGAAAATAGATTGCATCGGACTACTTTTTCGCTGAGTGTAGTATTTCAGCATGCGGAAAATTGATGTTGACAACTTGGATCGGATGGGCGATTTTTTAAGTTTTTTCAATACACGGCCTCTAACGAAAAGGGCACTTCCATATGGTTTAATATTTTAAAAGCAATTACCTTTATGTTTATTTTGCATATTACTAGCCACTCAACGGGTATTGCCTACACGCGCAATGAAGAAAGCGGTGTTCGTAGAGGAGTATGGGAGAAGCGAATCGTGCCCGTGTACGTTTTTTTTAAAAGCGGAAACATCACGCACGTGATTTATTTTTTGATTAAACACATGTCAAAGGGCCTTTTGACAATTTAGTCATTTTTACTTCGGCAAATAAAGTAATTAATATACCATTTATTGACAGAATTATAATTACGTCTGTTGAAAAATTTTATATATATATATATATTACTTGTTTACCGATAACAGATTTTCTTGTCGAAAAAAATTCAAATCGATTAACAATTTATTTTCCAAACTTATTAATTGTATTATATTTGTATCTGTTAACGTAAGTAAATATTAATAAAGGCAAAAAAAAAAAATTAAATTTCTTGAGAATAAAAATGCTTCATTAAATAAGTAAAATAAGCAATTCGAGTTTAAACAATGTAGGCGTATTATTCGGGTCCCGACACAATTAAGAGCTTCCACAAAAAATTACAGTTGCTATACCAAACATGGCCAATTATTGTCCAGTTATTTTATAACAGTAATTTTTGAACAATAATTTAACCTTAAAATGAACCAAATTTGAAGCACATGTGTCCATTTTGTTGGGACCAATACCAAGAAAGTATTCTCATGAATAATAAGCCTTGTGACAAAAAAGCTTAGTTTTAATATTTTACGATGAAAATTGGTTCATACTAGCGGGTTTTTGTAGAAATTAACTAAAGGGAGTTTGGATAGCATAAATCTGTTTTTTAGATCCTACTATATGTAGGCGCTCTTAGGAAAACTAAGTCTAATTTGTTGTTTTTCTGGACGAAAGCAGGTGAAAACGAATGATTAAATGTATTTAGTATCCGTCTTGTCCGTTTATAATGTTTTTAGTTGCTTCTACTGAATATATAGAGATTATTTACTGGATTATTTCTATATACTGTAATATTTTGTAATTTGAACTACTCTTACTTGTAAGCATTTAAATACATCAAGGGTTAGATTAAAACGCATCCGAGTGGTATACGCACACTGCCTAGAGCAAACATATACATATACGTTCGTGGTAGAAGAACGTATTAAGTTTTCGTCGATGTATGGCACATCCACAAGAACTTGACATAGATCCATTTTTTATCATACCGAGAAAGTGGTTCTGAATTGATCTCGGCTTGTTCTCCCCATATGCGTTTCTTGTTTTCTTTTGTTCGATCTACAAATCACAATTTCTGAAATATTTTAATGAAATTGGCGACACCGACAGGTTTCTAATATAAATTCTTATTTTGAAAACTCGTTAGATGAATAACTGTTTTAAATGAAGTTGTGCAGGGAATTTAATGGCGGGCTGTGTCTCAGCAGAGTGTTTTTACTTGTAAATTTTTACAGCTTTTATATTCCCATCAGTGTGTAGCACCAAATCACCGTTTAGCCAATCATAAATCAACCTTCAACGAAAATTTCTTTTAAAGATATATTTATTTGAGGCGTAGTTGTGGTTCTGTTGAGCTTCTTCAAATTCAGCTTACTTATTCAATTTTCTGGAGAATAAAAAATTATACCTCCATATGTAAACAAAAAAAAACAAAAGAAACTCATTAACGCATTTCAACCTAAATAAACATTTACCTTTTTAATATTTACGCAGGCATGCGCAAAATTGTAATATGTATGTAAAAGGGAATCGCGTTGTAAATATAAACATTGTAATTAACGGATTATATCCTTTTCTCCTTTTACTTTTTTTTATCGCATTTATATCAACGTTATTGAGAGAAAAACAAAAAATATACAAAAAGTTTCCAATTCTTACCTTTAAAGCAACACTTTTTTACACGTAACGCGTATATACAAAGACAGATTAATATAAATATGGCCGCCAAACAACCGCCGGCTGTGCCCAACAAATAACTCATTTCCAGAGGTTCTGTAATAACGACAACGACAATAGCAACAGCAATGGCGTCAGATATGGCATCAGCGAAAAAGAAATGTTTACGTAGTTTTCGGTGGATGTATATTAAGGAAGTTTCCCAGGAATTTTCAAGTGTGTGAAAAAAGATGAATGGAGAAAGATAACAAAAAAAAAAAAAGAAAAGGAAAAACTTCAAGTTAAGATACGATAAATAAATAAGTTTTACTATTTAGACACATCAAGTTTAAGCAAAAACATGCGAATGTTTTTTCACGACATACACACAATGTTAGGGAAAATTAAGAATTATTGCTTAAATTAAATAGAGACAAAGTAGAGAATTTATTAAAAACTAAACTGAGAAGGTTAAAGCGTAAGCAAAATAATAAAACTTTTTTTCAAATAAAATAAATATCCAATAAATATGTATAAAGAGATAATAATATACAACAAATTAAGGAATTGCAATTAATGAATTTTAAAAAGTTGACCAAACTACATTAAATAAAATAGAAAACATGCATGTGATTTTTATTGAATGTCCTTTACATCAGCGATCTAATTATTTGTTCAGATTAAACCCTTAAGAAACACGGATAGTTTTTCAGAGAGCGATGTAAAACGAATGGAAAGTAGAACAAACTAACATGTTCTAAAGCACAAAAGATTCCCTGCCGCCTCAACAGCATTCCGCTCACTTTTGTCAAAGTCTAATGTGTTACCTGAATCGCGGCTTTGACTTTATGTCAAATTTTTAGCCTGTTTGAAAGTAAGTGAGGATCGACTTCATAACTATTTGTAGATTAACCATATCTTCGTGAGCGCGCGTTTGTGTCGTTAAATTTCTAAATATATCATATCCATTTTATAAGTAATTTTGTAGCGAAATAATATTCATATATAATAAACCGCAATAATTTCATATCGGTTGACAAGAAGGTGTATGAAATGATTTGAGGATCGAGCAACCACCAAAGTTGAAGTGTCACAAGATAGGACGCTATACTTACTGTCTATTCAAAAAAGTTGATGCTCTCTCTATAGCGGTGACAGTTAAATAAATATACTAATATTCTAAACAAATTTCTACCTGATTTTCTTATGTTTCTATTAATTAATAAAATGCACGTGGTTTTGGATTTTCTTCTCTTTTTTCTATTATCATTACATAGGACACTTCATGTAATTTCATTATGCAACATCTGCGTTTGACTGAATAGGATTTTAATTAAACATTTGCATAATTAATTGTTTATTTAATTATCATAAACAAATTTGCCATCAATTTTAATTAAAGCTAATATTTTATCTGGAGGTCATTTAAAAGCAATAACAGTAATAATAAAACCAACAACAACGAAAGCAAAAGCAATAGCAACCGACAAAGCAAAAACAGCGACGTCGTTACAAATTTAACATCCAAAAAAATGTAAATGACCATTATAAACTAATTATCAATGCAATGAAGGGTAAAAACAAATTATACTCCTTCTCTTGCTATAGCTTGCCTTCCCGTTCATCTCGTCTATGAAACTCTTGTAACATTTTTTTCAACATCCTTTCATTGGGAAATTTCAGAAAATTCACACTAATTATTTATGTAAATTAGTTGGGTTTGTTTATAAGCTTTGCTCTGCATGTAGTAAATGCATTGTACGTACATATGGATGATTAAATCTACATATAACATATAAATGGCTTTATGGCATAGTTTTTAGTTTTTTCATCATGAATGACATCATGAAGTTTTAAGGAACTTGTTTATTAAATTGTGAGAACTTCTGAAGGGAACAATTAAGAATACGCGCAGTACGCCCTCTATATAATCCGAGCTCTGAAGCTTCTTTAACTCGGCGAAATCAATTTTCGTAGATGTAAATACCCAAGGGGACAACACGAAATTAATAATATTGTTACGGAAATCCCAAATCTAGTCATTTTCTACAACCAAATTTACATTCGCTAGGCGTCATGCAGCTGCAGATCGATGAAAGCGATTAGCGGAAAAACAGACAGGTAAAAGCAGAGTGCACATTCGCAGGCGCCTCATGCAGCTGCATGCCGATGAAAACGGATACCAACAAAAGCAAGTTAACGAATTAAATGTCAAGTCATAAATGTAGGTATAGTAACATTCTTGTAAAATTGTATATAAATCGAATATTTGTGAAAAGTAGAGTTAGTCTGGCAAGAACTTAGAAGTTGAGAGTACGGCCAAAATATATCGTAAATAAATATTCCTACTGTTGTGAGAGACAAAGTAGTAAAATAAAAGAACTTTGAAGTGTATTTCTCTTGATCAAAATATCTACGATCTAGAGATACGGACTGTATCTTGTAAAAAGCGAATTTCATAACAACTAGGCAGGAACACACTTTAAACCCTGGCCACAATTCTATACCTAAATTTATGGTTTTATTTCTAACCCCAGCCTGGTTTTTCCTCTAATCGTTTCATCGGCATGCAGCTGCATGAGGCGCCTGCGAATGTGCACTCTGCTTTTACCTGTCTGTTTTTCCGCTAATCGCTTTCATCGATCTGCAGCTGCATGACGCCTAGCGAATGTAAATTTGGTTGTAGAAAATGACCACATTTGGGATTTCCATAACAATATGTACGGGAAAGAATAAAATGATAAGTAAATAATTTGAGATAATAGCTAAAAAACGGCCGATGAAAAGCATATGATGTTCAAGAAACGCATTGAACACTGATTACGTTTCAGACGTAATTAGAGAAAGCAAAAATCGTGGCAACGAAACAAGCAACAGAAATCAACCCCAATGAACAGGCAATTATAAACGAGAAGCGGCGAAACGGGAAATTAGGAGAAATACATAATAAATTTTATTTTTACTTAATTTTTGGTTAGGAACAAGCCCATATAAGTTTAAAGAATTCTACGTACACTCAGGCTCCGCTTTGCGTGATTCGACTTTCCGACTTTTGTTTTTCGATGTTGCGTCGCTCTTGAATGACCACTGATTTTCGTTTTGCGTTGCCATATATTCGATTTGTGTCGTTTTTTTAAATTTTTTTTTCGATTTTCCTGAAGTTTGATTATGAAGATCGATTTTGAAGGAATAAATAAATCGGATGTGGACGAATTGTTAACTGCCGATAAATACGAAATGCTTAACGAAGAATTAATCGATGTGGATATGCAATGCGCGAACGAAAAGGACACCCCAGTAGAAATGCAACAAAATCTTACATCACAAAATCTTTCTAAAGCCATGGATTTAGTTGATGAAATTCGGAAAATTTTTTATGCGAACGGTAACAATCCGATATTAACCGCTAAAAGTAAATTTATTTAGAAATGGGAAAAAAAAAATCTGTTCAGCAGAAATTAGACAAATTTTTCAACAAAGAGACGCCAGTTGAGTCCTCTACAAAACTCAGTTAAATTTTCTTCACTTTTTTGTTTTTTATTGCGTAATACTGTTCGTTTATTGTGTCGATTTTTTTAGTTTTTTTACTTTAATGAAAAAATGAAAAATTTTGTCAATTTAGGTTAAAAATACGTACACATATACTACAATCGATAAAAAAATCTTCGAAATTTATACGATTTCCTATATAACTGCGACCGACTTTGCGTCGTTTTTTTTGGAATGCATCTACGCTTTAAAGCAGTACCTGGGTGTACATTATTAAGAACTGGGAAGCGCTTATTAGTAGAATTTTTATAACTTTATTTGTATTTCTATTACGATGTTCTCATTTGAAGCATCACAGAATAACGTATATCCGCAAAGTTTTGAAGAATTTCAACAAATCATTTATACTTAAATCGCACAATGTACGTAAAGTTGATAGAATTTCGAAAGTTGCACGAGGGTTCAACATTTCTGCACGACAGTCGACGTTATGAGGTGATCGAGTTAATTTTAATAGGCGATTTCTCTCAGGTAAAAATTCTAAAGAAATGGGAAATACCAGTGAACATAACCGTCGTATGCGATAGTTTTGATCTCCTTCTTTAGTTGTTTATTTGAAGAAATCTACTGCGGAAGACCATCAAATAGGTACTATGGTGATGTTGCTCCATCATATCGCAATTGTCGGTTTTAGTTCCAACGGTTTATGAGAAGCGACACGAATGGGCTGAAAATGCCATTTTTGGCCCCTTGCTGCAAGAGCCTACTCTTTGGAGCTTGGAATGAAAGTTCTACCACACCTAGCATATTCACCAGACAAAGCGCATCATGATTACAACTTGTCGCCAAAAATATTGTGAAATATTGTCGAAAATGATGAAAACTATTTTGATTAATACATATTGTACCAATTTTCCACACTAAGTGACTTTCTCAAGTGGAAAAACTACCAAAATTAGCTTCATATTTCACTTGAAAGGGTAAGATGTTACTTTTTTTAGCGAATCTTATTTTCAGTAAGTGTTCTTCAACGAGATCGAGAAGATTCTTAGCAGAAAAAATCATTAAAATTGTGGGAGTAAAAATTTCAAGAGGATTAAGGAGTATCTTTCTCAAAACATTGGTTGATTTTGCAGCTGCATTCTAAATAGCATTTTGAATTGTTTAATAAATAAATCAAATATGTTTCCAATGCTTAGACTTAATTTTTTAACCGCTAGCTATATAAATGATAGCACATTTTGAAAGGCTACTGCTACATATACTCGAAATGACTGAATAAGAATTATAATCACTTAACCATGCGTGCTTTTAAATTAAAAAATATAAATAGTTTACGACATTTACTTGTTTCATGTAATTCTAGACTAGCAGGTCGAAGAAAAATAACAAAAATGAGAGGCAAAATGGAGATTCTCATGCAATTTAAAATGAAAATTAGCGTTAGTGCAACTCTGACAGTGACTGCCGATACCATTGAAAATTTTTTTTGCTTAAAAAGAATTGTACATAATATTTATATGATATTTACGTAACACGGTGCATACATACATACATTACACACATATGATATGAAGAAAATGATTTGATTTTGTCTGCACCTGAAAACGTACCCTCCACGTTCAATTGTATGGCATGACGATCGGATCCGCGTTCATTTTCCACAACCAAATAATAGGGACGAGCATCATGTTCGTTGGTATGATGTATATGCAATGTTGATAGGTAACAATCCTCGCGTGCATCTTGTAACAAATCATCAGCACGAAAACGGTCTACGTATGGTGGGTGAGGAAACAAGTGTGATGTAACGTGAACGGTTTGTTTCATGAAAAAGTTGTGTTGAGTCAGTAAATGGATGCGATCCACAATTGCGTATCAGAGTGTCGGTAACATCCACATACATATGGATACATATGTATATATGTGTGCGGTTTGCAGCAATTGAAATTCACCGAACAAGAAGCAATTCATTAATTCGCCCAAATTAGAGTCACCCACAATGGACGCAGGCGGACATGTTCACATATAATAGCGAACGTTGGCGTCATCATCATCATCATTGATTTAGCCGACATTTGTTTTTGTTCAGCAAACACAAATAATTTGGTTTAAAAGCATTATTATTGTTGTTGTTGTTGTTAGTGGCATTTTATAAATTTTATGCGCGATACGTGCATGTTTTCGTTGGTCGCATAGATGTGAGACAGAGAAATAACCATTAAAAAAACCAAAAAAAAAAAAAAAAAAAATGAATTTCTCCGTTAATTAGCAGAAAATGCAAATTGTTTTTAGTCGTAGATTGCATTATTGCATGATTTAATATGTATCGGCAGCAACCAATACATATGTGAGTAATACATAATGCATTCATTAACGTTTTATTCAGGTTAGGCCGCCGCAATGCCCGGTATTTGGTTATTATTCAAATAGTTTTGTATGTGTGATATTATTTTTATGGTTTTAGGCAATAATTTTGTCCAACATTTTGTTATGGCACATGTATTATATATGTATATATTTTTAAATTATTTTAGACAAGCACCCACACGTTTATAATGATGTTCAATAATGACGCCAAAGAACGCCACATGGATACGCATATATATGGTTTTCATTAATATTAATTATGGGTTTTTTGGTAGTAAATGAATTTTTGAAAATTGCTTGATTATTGTATTTGTGTGGGAGTATGTACATCCCAGTGAAGAACGCATAGAAAGAAAATGAGAATTGAAAGTTGTATTAGCAGAAGAACCAAAGGTTAAAAAAGTACGCGTTCGTCTTACGACAAACAAAACTGATTGTTAAGTTGGTAACTAAAAATTTCTGGATCTTTTAAAACTTGTTTGAGTATTTCGGTTGAGTTGCACTAAATTGATATGGAATTTGACCACATTTAAAAGTATATTCATTTCTCTTATTGCGTGCTGCGTATTAATTGATCTTAGTTGACGAAAATTGCTCTTAAGATCAGTGTTGGAAATCCAGTTTGGAGGAGATTGATCAGAATTCCAAAACAGACTACAATTCAGATCGAATTTATTAATTTGGAAATTTTAAGCTTCTTCACTCGTTCAGGCATTGTGCAAGTGATTGTGGACGAAGAAAGTCTGAATAACAAAATTATCTTTTCCATAACATTTATGTACCTGTTGCTGAACCGGCGTCCAAACGCAACGAACCCCATTCCCAAGCTATCCGCTGCGGCCTGGGATCGGCGCATACTATAAATGTTAGTGTGGCGGCATCACCACGTCTCGTAAGTACTGTATGCATAGAAGGATGTAGACGTAATATCTGCGGAGCACCTAAAAGTTGAAAAAATGTCATTCAGGTTCTGGCAGTTATGAGAAGCAAACATATTCCAGTTTCTTCCTAATCCTTTTAACAGAGGCTAGAAAACTTTTTGAATGCTTCAACTAGGTTAGATAAATATAAAATAAATATCACGCAGTTGTGCGTCAGCTTTAATTTTATATAAATATAGTTACAATGTTGCGGCAGTACAAGTTATCCTACTGACATTAACACACCAGTCAACAAGTTCATACCATGTCATATAGGCATTCTCCATTGCACCCTCTTGAAGACTCCGTGTGATTTTCAGATAGTACCAACTGTCAAAGGAAATGCACCAAAATAGCATGATTTTACGATCATTAGTTAACAAGTTACAGTCGTTTCAGTGACGCTGACCTTCGTAACTTTTAAAACGATGGAAAAATTTGAATTTCATGCGTTGATTTTGATGGAAAAAGTTGCTTTTTGAATAAAAAAATTAGCTTTACAACCAGTATTGGCTTGAAAGATGTTACGTCGACTCGTGTCTGTCGAAAAAATAAATTTTCGCATTAAAAAGTGGAGTTGCGCGAGATATTTGGCACCTTAAAAATTTCGGAAGACAACATATTTACAATTATGCATGAACATTTGTGCATTAGAAAGCGCTGTTTAAAGTGAGTACAGCGTTCACTTACTTTTATGACCGAAAAGAAATACGCTGTGATTACTCAGGGCGCTATTGGACTCTGTTTAGGTGAAATAGAACGCATATTTTCATATGATACGTGACAGTGGATGGCACATAGATTCATCGCAGCATTCCAGTGCAGAAAGCACTCCAAAACGAAAGTTTAACCCGGACAAAGGATCAACGGTGAACGCTGTGTAGCATTATAAGTGTGTGTGAATGACGAAATTTCAAAAAACGGTCCCAAATGAAGAAAAAGAAAATGCTCCTTCAACGTATCATAAGTCGAGCACAACAATGGTGATATTGCTTCAATTGCGCTTTAAAGTACTGTATACTGCTGATTTAACCCCAAGCTGCTATTTTCTGGTCATGAATCGCAAAAAAAAATGATCATCAATGTGGAAAAGCGTATTTTGAAGGGGCGGACAAATCGTTCTATAAGAAAGACATGGAAACATTAACGAAGTACCGGAATAAAAGTTTATATTAATGGATAAAATCGAATTTTGCCTGAAGAATGTTGTTTGATTGTCGATGCTACGAATTTATTGACTGGTGTTTTACATCGCTACCTTAGTTTCATTGATCAAAACTCTATTTTAATCTGCTTTAGTTTAGGGATGCTTTAGCTCCTTTCAATTTATTCTATTCAGCTTTATGTGTAACGTTGACGCCAACGGGGCAATACGTAAGGAACTTATCTCGTCGATCAAAATTGTTTATATAAATCGAAACTTTCCACATAACGTAGATTGGAAAATAAAGCCAAATTATCAAAATATTTTTGTTCTTCACGTTAACTTGACATTATGTTTCACTATATTGCACTTTAAAGCTTTTTTAAGTGTTATGTAACTACAGGTAAAAATGTGTTATCATTACATATTCTCATTCGTTCTCTTTGTCTTTTATAACACGTATCAGGTCGTATCTGTTTCACTACGTTCGTACATTATGCCCATTAGTTTCATAACCTCAAAATAGCCATTGCTTTGGTTTTTACATAACTTTTCCATTCGTAATACTTGCATTGACCTGATTTTTCGAATTTTTCAACTTTTTCTTTTTTACTCGTTTCGCTACCGCCTTTTTGATAAAATAACTTTTTTTTGTTTTGATTTAACCAAAAGGCTATTGAGTGTGTGAGTTTGTTATGCATATAAAAATATCATCTCGTGTGTGCAATATGTAAATTTATCAGTATGACTGTTTGCGCATGTACTACTTACCCACAACTTGCAACGACACTGGTTCCGATATGGCCACACGTTCCTGACCATTAATGTAATTTGTAGCACGGCACTCGTATTCACCTTGATAGTCATAAGTAACATTGTCGACGACCAAACGGGGCTCATGGCCACGTTCTACATATTTCGAACCATGTGAAATACTGAAAGCAAAAATGGATGAAAAGATAAGAGCAACAAGAAGAACAAACGCACGTAAATAGTTTGCTACACTTCTTGTCATTGCCGTCTTTATTGCGGCGTATTTAAAGAGAAAGTGTTACGTAAAACATAAAAATTTTGCAACCGGATTTTAAAGTATATGCATATAAAAAAAAGCTATCACCAAAAATAATAAAAAATAGACAAATTAAATTCAAATAACCTTTACTGGGGGTATTGCTTTAATATAAGGAACGGATAAAGTTGGCGTGTGGGCGTATATGAAAACGCTATAAAACGTAAGTAAAGTATGTGAAGAGAAAAATGAGAAAGAGTGAAGTACGTGGAATATAGAGTAAATTTACAATTCGTTACATCACTTGGTATATTTCTGTTCTACGTTAACATTGGCCACTCAGAAGTTTCACTTGCTTAGTGTAGAAACTATAACACCATCAAAAGTTTCTAATGTTTATCAACTAAGCCTTTTCATTCATTCGTCGACAACCTGAAAAAGTCTATCTTTAATATAACTATAAGTGTGTATATGGTAAGTAATAATAAAGTAATTCTTAAATTGCTAACGGAACTTATCCTTTAAATTTTTATAAATTGATCATGATTTACATTTGCAATGACAAAACAAAAAAATGAAAAGGAAAAAATAATGAAATCCCCATCCTTGTGTATTGAGACTGTACCAAAAACGTCGCATACTTTACGTCGACCTTTGTCAGGTTTTCACATTAATCATAAGAAGACCGTCCATTTTTCGCCAGAAGTGTAGAATGCTTTTAGCGAAAATCTTCGAACCATATTAGATAATACTACAGATACAGTTGGCTTCCTCATTCCTACTTTGTTACATACAATGTTAATAAAAACTTTACTTAAAAGCAGGTAAGAACTGTTACTTATCCGTCCGTCTGACGTCTGTCTATGTATTTTGTCTAAGACTTCAAGTTTGCAATTTTGAAAGTGTTTGGATCAAATGTGGTACGCTGACATCTTTTTGCCCAAGGACAGAAAAAGGAAAGAAGTGAGAAAGGAGAGAAAGAGATAGGGAAACGGCCTCAGCCTTGTGGGTGTATGTTCAAGCGGTAAGTGCTACACCTTTACCGACAGAGCACTCATCATAACTACGACCAAAGTAAACTTTACCGCATTGAGATTCGAACTCGCGAGCACACACTTGGTAGTCGCGATTCTTACTTACTGGGCTATTCATGCGGATAAATGCGGGTGGAATGGGTTAGACGACTGGATACCACTTTTTACTATTTGAAGTTTTATTTTGAAAAAAATTTCAATTCCTTAAATTGCACGGCAGACCAAATTGTTTGGAAAATTTGAATCGTACAAACTAATTTTTGTTGCAAAGCGTTCTCACGAAAAGTAAGCCTTTATGTGGAAAACATTCTAACTTTTCGTATTTTATTGCGAAAAATACTTCTTAGCAGTAATATGGCTTGCAAATTAACTATAAAGCAAAGTTCATTTTTAGCACTTTATGATGATCATTGGAAAATTGTTTTTGCTAAATTTGTATGCCCATGAAAAATGTACCATTACATGGAAACAAAGTAGTTTTGTGAAAAGTTTATCACGAAAGTAAACGAAGAATTGTGTTAGGCGAAGTTATACAGGAGAAGTAACGATAGGCCTTAAGCGACCATAACGTCCACAGTTTTCTTTAACAAAACGCCCTTTAACCATGCTTTTTGCTAGGCACACACTTCTATTATGATAACTGGTACACTTCAGATCATGTCTAAATTTTTTAAGTTCTGATCACGTTTGTTAAGGAGTGTTAAGTGGAAAGTAAAAGTGTAGCAAGTAAAACCATTTTTCTTTTTCTTTGTTATTTTCCTTATGAATTACCACATATATGAAACGTCAAAACATTATATTATAATATAATACGTATACTTTTACAATGTGTTGTAATGAACGTGTTGAAGTTGAAAATATTGTTTTCGTTTACCTATTGTTTGAAAGGAAAGAAGCTTATAAGTGATGGAAAACTGGGAGAGAGATAGTGAAGAATTGTAACCAATTTTGAAAGTACGCTGGATGCTCTGTTATGCCTTCTTACTTGAACATTCAGCACATTATGTAAAAAACGAGTGCATTTATATCGATATATACGTTTGCATTTATTTTTCTTTAATGTGCAATGTGTTGTAAACTAGATTTACAGACAACGCGAAAAACACCAGCACAAACGTGCCGTAAATTTTCACATAATCATAAAAAAAAAAGTAAAAGTGTAGAAAGAAAATTAATGCATGAATTTTATGCATAAATGGCGCCCAGCCATGTTGTATGTAGATGATAGCTTCATGCACTATTTTTGTATTTTCTATTCGTTGAGCTCCATTGTATGTCAATTGCTCCTTTTTATCTTCTTCAGCTTTGTAATGTCAATTTAAACGAATTTTTAAAGGGATTCATTCTCATACCAAATTCCATATTCTACTTCACAATTGGCTTTCGCTTTTGGTAACACCAGCTTATGTTAAGGCGACCGAATACAATAAATTTTTAATATTTTGACAATTGATCGGTAAAAGTGACTAATCCTTTAACAATTGCATCTTTACAAGGTGCTTTAAACTCGCTGAAGTTACGTAAAGAACGAAAGCCATTCGGTTGTCCTGCATAAAAGACAGCGGTCTTATTAACGATGGCTGCTTTTATAGATAAGAATTATTGAGACTAATGTGTAATCGTCAGATTTGTATCACTACACTCTCTGCTTTTTTTTCTTGTTCTTTGCAATTTTGCATCCTACTGGCGAGGGCATATGCCGATTAAAGAGTCGTTTATATCATGCTTGAATTTGGTACATTGGCTGACGCAATATTGATTTTTGAATAACTTGCATAAACTGCTGAGGCATGTAAATTCATTTTACCTGCAATGAGTAGTTTTTTCAGTCTATCTTAAAATTTTTTTCATATTTTTCCTAGAGTTAAAACGATATTTCTTCTAAATTTCGGGTTTGTTATCCTTCTTTCATGTTAAGAAAAGAAATTTGATTTTGGGCAGTGTCTCCGTGTTCCATTTTTATTGTTGTTTTTAGTCCTCCTTAACGTCTCCTACTGGTTTTGTCTGTTCTCCTCGTCGATGGTATGCCTTACTTGCATTATAATAAAAATGATGATGGATAGCTGTACACCACTGACTCGTCAAAGTCCTCAAGTATTAACAACAAATGGTGCAAGATTGTCAGCATCGACGAAGAGCGTTTATATGAAAATGAGAATCGCTACATCGAAGTTAACTTCGATCCCAGGAAAAGTAAGAATCAAAATATCCATAGAAACTTTTTAGATGAAATTTCGAAGTTCATATCTTCACATTTTATATCCATCCGTTCCTACGAGTCTCTGCCTCTTCATTCCTTTTTCCTTTTTTCCGCAAGATCTTCACAACATTCGTTTATCCCACAATTTTACCGCGTTAATTCGCCACTCGTCCCCTCGCACCCTCTTCTGGTGGCATCCGCCATAGTCCGTGTTGTTAATGTTTTTGGATATGTCGCTCCTTCCCTCTTTTTTCAATCCAACAAATAATTCGATTCTTTCTGTTTATCCGTGCGTCCTTTGGCACCGTGTGCTCATCTTCCTTCCAATCTTTATATATACAATTTAAGTGCTAAATAGTTTAAAAGCACCATGAAATGAATATAACATTTCAAATTTAAAATGATATACAATGTGCACTAGTCCAAAAAATTAAAATGTAATTTTGACATAGGCTGCTAAGATTTCCCATTCTTTCGGTGACAGGAAATAAGAAAATTTTCAAAAAGCAATTAAGTGTATTTTAATTCACCGCGTACTCGGAGGGATCGACAAGTTTAAATTGATTTACAATATGGTTTTGAATCAAGATAATAAAAGCCATCTGAGCGTTACCTATATTCTAAATATACTTTGGACAAATCATTAAATGCTGCAAGTTTCAATATTCCGCGATATCTGCCGAAAAAATCGGAAAACAAAGATTTTTGATACCCAAAACATGTGGAAATTTTCAAACGTATGCTACCATGTTTTGGATCCATTCAAATGGTCCTACGAAAGTTCAACCTTTATATGACAATATCGAACCTTTAGAATTTTATGATGGAAATAGATCTCGAATAGCGATTTGGCATAACAATTTGCTCCTCTCGGTTAGAATAGTATAGATTCACTTTTGAGCAGCACCAAGATATACTTATAACTTTTTGTTTGTGCAAAAAAAGGCAATGGAATACGATTTTGGGTATTTTGGGACGAAACTAATGAAGTATTGTATTAGGTCGCGAAGTATTGTAGGATCTATCACGCTTGACTATTATTTTTTCACTTTTTTTTTTTTTTTTGAAATTATCGAGCCACTTGTGATAATATCAATTTCGTGTCTTATAACAATCGGTTATGGATTTGAAGTATCATTACATTATTCTCTTTAGGAATTCTCCTTAACAGTTCACACCTGTTTCCTTATATGTATTAAATTTCATATCGTTAACATTCACAAAATGTTTGTTTATACAAACAAAATGAAATAACGTGAAAAGACATGATAGCCTGCGGTAGTTATTATATCATCATTTTTTCATCGTTGCTATCATTATCATAGTCACCATCATCGTCGTCTTTGTCCTCATTTTCTCCTTCTTCATATAACATGTCCTGTCAATCGTTTGCCGTTTTCTCAAGCAACTTGCAGAAGCAAACAGATAGACCCGTTACCGTTGAATATTTGTACAACTTGGGTCTTTGTTATTACAACATCAGCAACGATAATAGGAACAGTAACATGAAAGGCAGCATGAAGTTGTAGGGTTGGTTTAGGGTGTGAAACGGTGGTTTATAATTCTGACACAGCGTTTGCGTTTATGTATTGACTTAATAGGGTACGTGTTTTAAGATTAAAGGCCATGTGGAAAATTTGTTACTTAGCTGTGAAAATCTCTGAAAGACTGAGAATCAACATACTACTTTTAACGGAATGTTTGAAGGATAAAAGGACGAAATTTATGCTGAGTAAGAAATTTTAAATAACGCGCTTAAGAGCGAAGTCGGTGTAATAGATTAAGAAAAATTTTGTTTCAAAATGTTATCTTAAAGATGTTGTAAAAACTTCAAATTAAGAAAACGAGCAACGTTCGTGCTGTGTCGTTTGCCGTTTCGAAGAAGGAACACGCGTTTAAAATTTTCAAATGTGTTACAGACATGTTTTTCTCTTATAATTAATTTTTTAATATTTTTTTTTTTCTAGTTTGCATTTCCGAGACGTTTAAGCTGCCATGTTCAAATATTTTTACTCATCCCGTACGTGTTACGTCAAGATGGAAACACTGCATGAAAATGGACGAGAATATTGCAGAATATATAATCAAATCCAAAAATTTCATTCCAAACTCTTAATTTCTTAAAAGGAACGGTGCAAACTTTCGCATCGACCTCAGTCTCACAATTGCTCAGCTATCATCGTTATAAAGCTGTATTAATATATTTTTATTTGGAGCTGCTTTCAAATGAATATGGACAGATGTCATCTGTTTGTTTTTTATAGAAGTTAGAACTCAATGGGTAACACATTAAACTGTGCCTCAGCGGCAAGGATTCATTTAACATAGGCATAACATCGAACTGTTTTCGCAAGGAATCGAAACATCTTGGAAAAAATTTCTTCCATCTCATGAATTTTTTCTACATATTCTGGAAGCTATGCCCATTAGACTGATCAAAAAAAAGTGGTTTCACTTTAAATAAATATTAAAAATTTGGTTTTCAACTTACCGTTGCACCCATTTGTAAGTTGGCATAGGGTTGCCATCTGCCACACATTCGAAAGCTGCGGGGCTAAACAATGGTGCAGTGGTTAAACGATCAGGGCCGGCAGATAATATTTTAGGTGGATCTGCAAAAAGCAATTGAATTATTTTGCAAATTACGACTAAACAGAATCGCTTTCTTTCTCGGAAAAATCACACATGCAGCCATACACACGTATACGGTCATACATTCGCACTCTGGTACAGTTGTAACTATGTCACCTCAATCAAAACTTACATTTTACATCTAATTGCACCGAAAGTTGTTCTGAGGTACCCACAGAATTTTGTGCTTGACAGGTGTACAAACCAGCATCACGTCTACCTACCGGGCGTAGCTGCAATGTTTCCTGAGTCAGATGAGTAATGAAGTAAAGAGCGATAAACAAAAAACGAAAAAGAAACATTAGACGACGTGTATAAGTTTTTCTTTGGCAAAGCTTCAAAAATTTTTGTTGGGATAAAACATGAGTTTTTTCACTCGTTTCTTTTTTTCATAAATTTTCTTTTAAAACTGTTTAACATACAACATTTCCTTTAAAACTACTACTTATTACCTGCAGACTTGCAATTTCAGATCGTCCTGCACGCCGCCATACAATACTAGCTGGTGGATTGGCATCCGCTACACAGCGTAAAACCAGTGCGTCTTTATCCTCTTCCAAGTCGATTTCCGGTGAGCCAATTAGACGTATTGTTGGTGCATCTAAAGGAAGAAGGGCGGCGTGTGGCAAAGAGCGCAAAACACAGAAAGCAAAAAAGAGAGGGAAAAGAAAAAACAATAAATGAATGAATGACTGAACGAATGCATTTTACAGGAAAATTGTCGGTAATCTAATTGATTTAGTATGCAAGAATCTCCGCCAGGACCAGAGCTGAACACATGCAGTTTGAAAATTTTAAAGAGAAAAAGAGACAAAATACGATAGGGAAAAGAAAAATTGAAGGCGACGACTGACAGGCATCTGTAGCGGATTTCAAATTTGAATTGATGCCAAATTTAATTCTGGCATAAGTTGGCCTCCTTGGAGGATTGCGTATCTATGTAAAGCGTACATGGATTTTAACTAGCTTTTGAATGCTAACAATTCTCATGTTTTCCGTTTTTTTAGTTTTATTTTAACGCAAATAACTTGCTATCTACGTTCCTAAGCGCAAGTAAGCAGACTATGTATCCATGGACACAAAGTGTAAACTGGTTTTCGTTCTCAACGAAGGAAATTTAATTTGGATAGACTGGATGTAAATTTAATGAAGTTTTTTTTACACTTTCTTGCCCTTTTCTCTTCTCACACAATCCTTTTATTTGTATACATTTTTTCGTAAAGCGCGAAAGCGGGAAAGAACAGAATAGTAAAATGTTCTTAAGTCAAGAGAAGCAGGATATTAAGGAAAAAGTGTTTGGTTATAGGACGCAATATTTTATTAAAGTGCATATAATGAATTTTCTGTCTTTTTATTAAGCTGATTAGTAATCGATACAACGTCAGTGTTAAGTTTGAAAAAAGAAAATTAACTACAATATTGAGCTACTAAATACGTTAATAAGTTACAAAGTGCATGACACGATGTCAAGGCCTCTTAAGAGTTCATTTTAAAAAAGTGTGAAGGTTAGGTATCGCACCATGTAACTTCAATAAATGAAAAAAAAAATGAAATTTTATTATCATGATTTTAAATTTAATCGTAGTTTCTAAATTTCTTGATATTTTAATATCGAATGATCTACCAAACATTGAAAAATAGTGGCCAGACGGGTTCGTAGTAAGGAGGAACCTTCACTTGGACCAGAAAATCGATTGTTGGATCGAAAATTTCAGTATTGAAGAACTGTTTATATGATCAAAAAAAATTTTTTTGCGAATACTCACGGGGTGGCTTACATTGCGCGTGATAGGTTATGGCTGGTTCTAATACGATGCACCAACCCATCGATGTAACTTCTTTTTGGCAATTATTTGGGAAGTAAGTAACGACATTAGAAAAGTTAGGTTTCAGGAAGTTAGTAAGCGTACGTTTACGTATTTAAAAAAAAATGTATATATTTTTATATCTACATTTTTATGTATTTGTGTACATTCATATGTATATATTTTTTTTTTGAAAACCATTAAAAGTGCCAAGGGATCTTGCGCCCCATAATGTAGCGGCTGCAAAGTTTCTAAAAAAGGACTGTGTCATTTTATCCGTCTGCACTTAAGGAAGTATTTGGAATATTTCAAAATATTGATTTTTTTGTGACTGACGAGTATCCCGAATGTAAACATTCGATTTTTATTACGTTTCAAGAAATAAGGGAAATAAGGGAATCTCTTGTTAGTAAAAGTCGTTAAATACATTTTATCCACAATTTTCTATGTATTTATCTTTAAAATATTTGTCTACATTTACTGTACAAAACAACACTTGACGCTGGGACAACACATACAAGCAAACGGCAACTGAAAATTTTCTTTTCCGACGTGCATTCTCTTCTAGTTAAGTTGTGTTAAAAAAAAAAACGCTTGTTTCATATTAGGGAAAAACAAATTAAAGATAAAAGATAATAATTATTAAAATAAATCTTTAATAATTACAATTTCATGATTTAACCAACAATCTCGGAAATTCCTTAAAAAAAATGTTTTCGTTTTTACTACTGGATTTTTGGTAAGTGTTTCACAAAAAGCTTCGGCGGAGAAATCTAGTCAACATAAATAAATTCATTCCTACCAGTAGTGTGAAAACCGATTGTAAAGGAAAATTTCTGCCAAAACCCATGAATTTCAACTTTTGTTTTCCTCCAATCGATTATTTGGTTCCCATCTTAAAACAACGTTTTTAGTTTGTAGGGTTTGACAAATTATAGCAAAACACCTAAATGCAGTGATCAGTGTATGGGAGTCAAATTTATCGCTTGTGGTTCGAACGACCATAATACTGTAAATATGATATATCTAAACAGAGGGCATAAACTAGTTCTTATTAAGATTATGGCTAAAAAGAATATTGCCTAGAAAAAGGTCAGCGAAAAATACTCATCCAATTTTTTAGACTGTCTCAGCAATGAACCGTGAGATGAGACTTCCCATGGTTGGTAAATTCATCTACAGTTTCTTCAGAAACTGACGATGAAGATTTAAATATAATCATAACCAAAAAAAAAAAGAAAATCCTTTCTCTCAAAACCTTCTACTAGTCCACCTCAACGACCGTCCGTATCAAAGTCTACGTGACCCTAAAAAACGACAAATTGTTTCTATGTTATAATCGCCAATTATACATCGTCGTGACGACGGCTACGGTGGCGTTGGTATATTGACTAAAGTTAATTTCAGACATACCCCGTACAATTCAGCCTCTGAGGTTATTATCGTAAATCATAAACCAAACCTTGTCATAGTTTCATGCTCCTTTCCATCAAGTGTTGATATACAAGGCTCTCGTGATGCAATGCAGAGATTATGTGACTTTCTTGACGATGAACGAAAGATAACTTTTCCCGGAAATTTCATTGATAGACATTGTTCGTAGGGCGGTCATCTCTCAACCAATAAAGGCAAGGTGCTTATTAATACCAGAAGTTTTAAGGTTTTAAACAATGGAAAACTTACTTTTTACTATAATGGGTGGTCGCGCGGCGAGTTGTGTCGTAGATCTAACTTTCACTAATTTAATTATTTTGTAATTTAATTGGAATACTAACAAAGTCTCGATTGGCAAGAGCCAACACTCTCACATTTCATTTCAAGGTTGCAATAATTCGGTACAAAAAATGGAAAATTTCATTTCAACAATGAAGATCTGCAGGAATTATATAGTTATCATGATTGGAGGTATGTGCATCAGTGGCAACTGGCGTTTTTTCTTGAATTGTATCAACAGCGACCGACAAATAAGCCGAACATTAAATGGTCACATTATGGGGAATAGGCATTACACTAAAAAGCTCCTAGATATACTTTATAATTATATTCGGAGCCACGATCGAATTGTAATACCTTCAAATCTTTTTATTAATCGTAAAACATACCCTTCTATTTTTGTGAACTTAGACATATTTCACAACCCAGTCAGAAGGTTAGTGCCGCAGCCTGAGATGGAATCAGGTAATGCCAGGGCACCCTCTGGGGGTGCATAAGTGCTGGCCTAATAACATCATATGCTTGGAATTGCGATGTGTTAAGGTTTTTCTTGTCCAAAAGCAGGTAAAGACTTCAATGATTTAAAAAATTTCTGACATCACGCTAATTTCAGTGTTCAGGTAACTAATTTCATGATTAAGGAGAGGCATATGGATTGTTCGAATACTGTGAATATTATTCCAGTTCGTTCTTATGCCATTGAAAAAGGAATATCTACGGACGTTCGCGTCAATGGACTGTTTTTGCCTATAACATGTTTTAAGAAAACTGATAAAATTGTTGTCATGCTTGCCGTGGATATCAACGAAGTCAGCGTTTCTGTCAACTTGATGACTTGGTAAAATTGTCTTAAGCTTTTCAGTCACAAATACGTGAACAATAAGCTTTCTAGTTATAAGTGCTGACAGAGTTGAAGTACATTATCATATTCCACAAGTTGCTTGAACACCGTCTTCAATCTGTAAACATCTAAGTTGCATGACGGCAAAACTTATATTTTTCAGAACGCTGAACATTTAACGCTAGTGTTCGCTGACTTATCTTCTTTCGTGGCTGTGAGTAATCTATGGATAAAAACAAATTTTTTCTTTGATGCCGATGTTAATTTATATTTTAATCCTAACAACACAAATATAATAGATTTTGTGTTTTCAACGTCATTTCTGGTGAAAAGCCCGTGATCGAAAGAGCTTTTTCTTGTACTTTTAAGGAGTATATTAAGGTTAAGCTAATGTGTAATTCCCACTTCCAGTAAGTTAGGTCTCTCAGCCAGGTTGTCTCATGGAGTCAAAAACTACCTAACATTTTTCACAATATAAACGCAATTCTTCTCTGAAATGTCGTCAACAGCAAATCTATATTCTTCGCCATCATCCTTGAATCGATTTCTACGACGAAGCGAAATGCCAATCGTTCCTTTGTAAGGATTTTATGTCAAGAAAAAGTTGCTCTTAATTATAACAAAGTCTATGATATATATGCTACCGACGGGCCGGTCGGTCATAACATATCCATTTACTCGGTAGTGAAGCATCTATCTCTCACATAAAGTCAGGATCATGGAGGAACTCTCCTTCACTTTTATTGAAATGCTCGCCATCAGACGTGCTATCAAGGTAGCTGCAATGAAGGGTCATAGAAAATTTTTCGTTTTCTCTGATAGCAAGTCAGCTTTACTTTTAATAAATAAAAAAAATGCAGATAATTAATATGTATTTGAAATACATAAGATGATGTACAAATATCAGATTGAGGACTCTTATCTTGTAAGCACACCTGTTTCGTCTTTTTAAATAAAAAGACCAACTTTTGTACCAAAAGGGGGTAATTTGACAATGCAATTTTGTCCACAGTATATTCTCTCAATGGAGCAATACGGGTAGTTCGTAAACACATCTTTCAACAACTAAACGATTAATTTCAAGAAATTTCGAGTGACAAATTTAACCACCTCTTCTATAAAAAAATTCCACTTTTTAAATACCGTATATACTCTATACTGCCCTGTGAAGGTAATATTGGAATCGTTGTATGGAAAAATGGTTAAATCAGCTACAATCGTGCATCAAACGTCTACTTCATCCAATTCAAAAGAGAACGGGATAGCGGAAAGTATAAATGGCGCAATCGTTTAAAAACCAGAATGTCGGCTGTCACAAACAAAGTTGAGGGAAAAGCCTTGAGCAGAAGTTTTTAATGTCGCACTATATTTAATTCATCGTTTACCATGTAAAAGTCGTCAACATTGCACACCGGAAGTACCTGATCTGGACGTAAACTATCATTGAAAGTAAATTTTTTTTACAGAACATGAAAACGAAGGCAAGAATTGCCTATTAAATTAGGATATCGACACAAAAGCTTGATCTATATGCAAATGCCCAGTAAAATTTTCAATTCAGATGATTCAACATCCGCCAATGAAGACGAAGAAGCAACACAGGTAACAATTGAAGAGTTGAAGAAGTTCCTTCAAGAGAAATAGATGTTTCAAATATAGCTTCACAAGAGGAGGCAATAGAAGATGATTTGAGAAGAGGGATCCTCAGCAATTCGAAAACCCAACAATCGTCGTGTTGTCTACTACGAAAAGAAAACTTTTGCCAACAGGTGATGCTAAGAAAGTTGAAAAGTACAAGACACGGATTTTAAAGGATTTTCTCAAAAGAAGGGGATTGATTATCGTAAACGTTTCTCGCCGGTTGTTCGTTATTCATCAATGCGTATTATCTGGCAAACACGATTTCTACATCGACCAAATAGACGTAGTCATCCCATTTTTGTAGGGAAAGCAATATGAAGACATGTACATACAATTCCAGAAAGTATACCCGGACAATTAGATAAAGTTTGTAAACTTTGAAATTCATTAAAATATGTGATACAATATAGCGTAAGCATATCGTTATATGTCATCATTGTGTTCGTGATTTGATTCTAGATTGATTAGATAAAAAATTTCAACAAATGAGAAGATATTGTGATCCCTTTTTGAAACACGTTGTTTGAGCAAATGTGTATGCGCGGCCATCAGAATAAAACAATTTGAGGAATATATTTCAACTATAAAATAAATGGCCTTTATTGCTCTGTTCCCATTTCTTACAAAATAAGGCATGGTGTAAAACAAAATTGGAAATCACATAATACAAACAATATGTATATTAGAGTAAAATAAGCGTACATTGGACGAATAATTTTGAAGTTTAAAAGAAATAATCATCGTTTCTTGTTATGATTTTTTCCTTTCTGTTTTATTTGTATATATACATGCAAAACCATACGATTTGTCAGTTCTGAGAAAATTTCGAGAAAAGCGTGCAAAAGTCAAGCCCGAACTGGAAAACAGGAATAAGGCATTACCGTATCGGGTGAAAATTTTTTTTTTTTTTTTTAGTTCAGATTGTGACAATTTACACAAAGTATCGTAAAGAAAAAAAAAATATTTTTCGCGCAGATGGGTCCGATAATGCCATTTTTTAGTATTAAAAAAGTATTTTTTTTCATATATGTCACTCCTCGAACGTTATTATTATATTACCTTATCTTTCAACGCGAAGAAATTGTCAAAAACACAGTTTGATTTTTAGAAAACTTTATTGATTTGATTTTTAGAATACTTTTTTTAGAATACTTCAGCGCCGTTGTCGCTTAAAACGATTTTATATCTGATTTTTGAGTATTTGTGTCGGACTATTACAAATTTTCACCCACCACCGACACTATCTTTTAAATATTTTCAAAAAATTTTATGTCCTTTACGGATGTTGAACAACGTCTCCGGAAATATGAATCTTTTTTCATTCAACGCAGTAAATCCTCTAATGGCGATTTGCCCACTCCCAGAAGAAGAAAAAGGAATATATATACAGTAAAATACGTAGAAACTGGAGCGATATGCAAAGACCTTTTAATCAAAGTCTCTCAAAATTATAAAAAAAAAATATGTTAACAGTTGTAAAATGTTTTTATTCATTCATTTTTAAAACTAAGAAGCTGTTTTTTCGTTATACTTACATTTTATATCCAACCTCGCTTCAACTGGTACCGATTTTGCTGTATAGGATTCATGGAACGCTAAGCAGCGTAATATATCACCATGACGTTCACGCATAGCTGTCAGTTGAACCACAGATGTAGCTGACCAAGTACGTGGATTATCTGGTTCAGTAATGTTCGTTTGAAGATGAATTGGTTCAATTTCTTGGTCGCCTAAAGCCAAAGAGCAGCGAAAGTAAAGATAAATAAAAATGATTTTCATATAATTTACGGTTTTCAACCAAACGCACCTACAATGTTTAAAGAAAAGAAACAAGTTTTGCGTTATAAGTACTTACCAAGAAACCATTTAAGCGTAGCTGGTGGGTTACCATAGTGCGAGACACACTTTGCCGTAGCTAACGAGCCAGAGTCTACTGTTATATTGTGTCCCGGGGGTACGTGAGTGCCCTCATACTCTAAACGAGGGCGTTGAGGAGCCACTGCAATGAAGGAAAAAAAGTGGCGGAATGCCGCGGTAATAAAAACTATCGCTATGTTTATAGTTAACTGGTTGAAGTTAATGTTGGGCGATTAATCTAAATCGAAGGTACGAACTACAAAATGCGAAATGTTACGTCAAAAGAAGTAAATAAATGTTAAAAATCCCTGTTACTAAAAGTTTATTAGTAAAGAAGAAAAGTTTGTTAGTATAGAAAAGGGTAATCATGTCTGGATCATGCTTAAAGAACGCTCTGGCGTTCATTCAAAAGCTTCATTTTAGCTTTGAATATTAAGAAGCAAAAACCAATGCGCGATATCTTGGGAATTAAAAATTTCAATCTGTACCATTATCGTAGGTAGCTTTGATAAGACTAAGCCTAGAGCGGCCGTTGCAGTGCTTGCTTTGCTTTGTATTAAAAGCAAACAGGATATACATAAGACTGCAGCGACAGGTGGAAAGCTACGACTTACTAAAGGCGTTGGGGTTAAAGTACCGCTATCGGCTGCTTTAGTCAATGAATAAATATATAAATGAAAAATATAAAGGTGTGTGTGCATAGGAGACTTAAATGCGACTTTGAAACGCATGACTAAATCAAATGGTTATCACACATAACGCCGGCAGGAGCTCAGAAAAAATGTATGTGCAAATATTGTAGAATTGAAGATGCAATCAATTTAACCGAAATGTACATCGAAATTAAATTTTAAATTAAATTTTCAAAATCACAATCAATTGTTTAACGAGAAAAGTCGACATTTTAGCATTGCAAAAGTCAGATGCGGATTTTCTCCGCAGGTTGCGTCAGCTTTAGAATAGTGAAATGCTGCTTGTTAAACTTTGAACAGAAATTCAATTTTATCCGATACGTTTTGCTTCAATTAATTTTTTTTGCTCCTAACATTAACGTCATAAGATATACACACTACGAAGTGATTTGTTCGTGTTCTTCGATCCGTCAGTACGGTGATTGTTAGGGCCCAAAAATATGAAATACAAAAATTTGGCAACAACAAAAGCCAGTAGTGCAAATAAATAAAGAACTGATCTGCTCTCGATTCGCAATTTATGCATTGGATTGAAGCAAACGACGTCTTCAATGCCACTCAAAGAAACAAAGCTTAATAAATGACGCAGCAATGCGTTTTTAAGCCAGTTTCACGATCGACATGTCATAGCATGTATTAAGAAGTGTTTGCACTTCTTTTCGTAGCAAACCGAGATAGGACAGCAGTTTAAGGTCTTCTTCCTGATGTACAGTGTAATTGCTCTGTCTGAGATAAGTTGAAAAAGGGGAGGAAACGGTAAATGCCACCATTGCTGGAAGTAACGAATGGCTTTAGCAATTTTACAAAAATTTTATTCTGGCGGGCTGGCAAGCAGACAAGATACGTGATGGTAACAGATACAAAGATATTATGGACTCGCAATAAAAGTACTATGGCTTGATTGTGTACAGATTCCAGGTTTCGGGTTAATTGGTAGTATGCTTTTGTAAATGTTTTCCTTTCTCTATCTCTTTGTGTGCTGTGTCTGTGCACACTCGCATATTCCTACTAATATAGCTGGACGCACACACATCTGGTCCTTTGCATTAGTTATGTTATGCGGTCAAATGAGTGAACAGATGTTATTTAAACTTAGTTAGTTTGATTACTAACACCTGTCTGGTTACCTGGCTCAACGTCTACCTGCATGTTATCATCTTAGCTTTCATCAAACATTGACTAAAGTAGGTGTGTGTTTCAACTTTGCCTACACATTTGTTCTTCGTTTTTTTCGTCAATTGCTTATCTCTCTTCTTCTACTTCATGTTCTTTTAGCAAATATTTTCGACGTATAAATCTTTGTGTCTAACTGTCTATCAATACGTGCTTCGTTTTGCTTACTTGGTAATTTAGGTTTGCTTGGTTTTCGTCTCAGCGCAGCTGAGGGTTGAACATGATTGCCTGGTGGTGGTCTTATTGTTGATACGTGCCCAACTGCAACACCAATTGCATATTATAACATCAGAATTACTCCAATCCACTTATAAACGTTCGCTTCTGTATATATACTGTATTCTGTATACATACGTATTTATAAACCTATTATTTTTGTTGCTAGTGCCGCTGTTGGTTACAGGTATATAGGTTTGTACTCCCGTATTGAAAACCCTTGACTGTGATTTTGTTTAAAAAGCATGGAAAAGTAATGACTGCGTCATGGCATTTGCGGTTGAAGATTACACAGTATTTAATATAAAATTGAGGATATTAATTAAAGGTTTTTGTGTATGTATATCAATTTTTAAGCATCTAAAGCACATCGTTTTAATATCCGCAAGATTTTTCTTCGCCTACGCATGGCACTTAAGCAAACAATGTGTTATTTATTTTAATGCATTCGGATGCGTTATCGGTCTTAATTTGAGTAAATACAGAATAAGGCCACTGGGTTAACATTTTATAATTTACACATGATACCACAGATTTATTACTATTTCTTTTAAATAATTTGGATATAAAAAAGATCTACTCTTAAGGAAGCTGTGCAGTTTGCAAGAGGAACGTTCGTTAAATCTAAAACTTTTAAATCGTTTATCGTTACCCTCGTTTGCGTGACAAGCGTTTGTCATTAAGCCTTGCAGGAGCATCGATCAGAATTGCCTACATTTTTATGTTAGTCAATATTCATTTTTTTGTACCCTACAAAACTTGTTGTACGGGTTATATTAAATAAATTAGAGTCGATCCACGCTTGGTTGGACGTCCGATGTCTGTTCATGAATTTTGCTGTTCAAACTACAACTAGAGATCGCAACATTCAACGCGTTTTAATGACGTGCATTGCCACAAGGACAACGCTATTGAAAATGTTTCTTTTCGGGTTACTTCTTTAACATCTCCCCATATAAGGCCATATTTTCAACGATCATTATGTGGCAAAAAATTTGTTCAAAATTTCTCGACAAAGTCGCTGAGTAATACAGTTTAGACGTTGTAAATTGGTACAAAAAATTTGGTTCCCCTGGGTCAATTTTTTGAACGCCGCCTCATATATCCAGGCGTTGTTATCAACGCTGAATTTTGAATTGATAAAAAAATCTAACTTTCAATATTTCTTGATGAAAACTCTTCGTAAGAGTAAATTGAAAAAGATGTCAAATTTACACATTTTGGACTCCCTAAGTCAATTTTTTCGATATCACCGCCTAGAAGGATTTTTATATACCCTTATACGCTGAAAAAGGCTTATTGTTAATGCTCTATGAAGAAGACTTGTTTATTGTAATAATTTGGCAAAAAAATTAGGTGGACCAAATTTGACCAACATTCTTGGATTCCACTCCATATAAGATTTTTAATGAATAGTAAGCCCTTCAAAAAAGGTTTATTTTTTAATATTTTATGATGAAAATTGGTTCATGGTACTAATTTGGCAAGAAAATTGGCGGTGAGGGATTTGAATCAGGCAGGTATATTTTTTAGACTCTAACATACTTAAGCGTTATCGTGAGTAGAGCTTGTTTGGAGAAAAGTTAAATTTTTAGTTTTTTGTGACGAAAACAGAAAAATATTAAAATTGTTTGGAATTAAATTATACAAGCGTTTTCATGAAAATTATGCCTTTGTATAAAAATAATATATAACTTTTGCTATATGAATGGATGATTATGTTAGGCGGTCTAGTGTAGGGTATCCAACGGTGAGCTTTGTCCATTATAATGTCCTTGTTTTTATACTATGTTCTATTTTATATATCCTACACCACCTTCATGGCACACGTTACGTTAGACGAAGAGGTGCAGGACATTTGAAGGTTGGCCTTGCTCAATTGCAATATTTTTCTCGTTTCCTTGAAAATGGTATATTTGTGGCGTATTGCTCGTGCTTTTGAGCTAATCAGCCTGCTTTTTTTTACATTAAGTTCAAACCACAACAGCGTATTATACAATAGTTTAAATGCCATGTGCCATGCATTACGTAGACTGTGCTCTTACGTAGCACGTTACGATTTTTTGCTTCATTTTAAAATATGTTGAAAGAAACATAGTAAAAATAAACGGATATTGCATATAAAAATGTCCGGATACGATTTTCTTGGTATTGTTGGTATAATGTGTAATGATATTCGCTGAATCTATTGTCTTCATCACGGATATACCTTGTTTCTTTTTGAAATTCGTTTGACCGACGCTGTGATATAATTTAATTTAATTCGAGATCAGAATTGCATTTACTATGATCTGCGAAGTGTTAATAGGGAGAGGAGCTCCAATAAAAGTTTATAGCTAATAGCAGTACGAAATCAAATATAACAGGGGTGCTAAAAAACGGTGAGTTTAGAATAGAAGATTGGACTAAACATATCTATTATAATTCAACACCGGTGTCAAAGGCAACAGTAATTGCCGGTAACTATCTCTCGTCATCGTTTTAGTCGATTTGAATATGCCGTGAATAAACGGCACCCAGTTGATCAAATGCAGAAAAGACATTTGGAACGTTTACCCCAGAATTTTTTGCTTTTACGGTTATGGTAATATCCATTTTCGATCGTCATTCAGTCTACGATGCAAAAATATCTTCCATTTGTGTCGTCGAAAAAGTTCAACAAGCCGTCCGGCACCTCCTGATTTTAACGGGTACGGTACCGAATTACCTTGCTCTTGGATTATTCCTCATCCTCTCGAAACTGTTGTGTGATCAACTCCGTAATCATTATGCAAGTTTACTTGGTATATAACATATGTCCCCTTAAATTAGCACTTCTAACACATTGTTTTCGAACATTATTGAGGCGCTGGATTGTTCTTTACCTTCAACATCAAAATGATTATTTTTAAGCCATCAAAATCCTTCTTTTTTTTTAAAACCTAAAGTATATATGCGTTATTATTAGCTCATAAAAATATTATCAAAAATTTTTTGCCTTAACATTGTGGTGAGCGCAATTTATGTTTCGTAGGAAAGATTTACCTTTTAATAAAATGCCGGGCTAAGTTCACGGGTAATTAAATTGTCCTTATCTTCGTTATTTATTTCCCGCAACTGAATAAAAATCTTGAAATCTCTTAACGTTATTATTATTATGTTTTATTAATTAACGTATGTTACTAGCTAAATTACATAGTTCGAATAATAAAAAAAGAGGCGCAGTTGTCTATCAAGAACCTGGTGGCTAAAAACTAAAATTAAAATGCTTATACTTAACTTAAATGACCAGTCGTCAGTGGTCATCAGACGGAAGGGACGCTCTTATTTCAAAATATTCCTAATTCGGCACCTATAGCGTACAATTCCAGCGGATGACGACGAATTTTACTTCGGACGATGGTGTGTTACTTAGTCGGCGGTTCGATCCAGGAGGAAGAGGATGTGCAATCTACTTCTTCAATGTGCTCCTGTTCAAAATCGAATTGGCGTTGCCAATCGGTTAGTTCATCACGTTCGAAATATGTCAGCTAACTTATGTCGAATGTGATATTACCGTTCCATACCGTTCTTACTTACAGCATCCCTATGATACTCACACGAGAATAACAAGCTACATGCTACAAAAGCATATAAGTGGAAAATAAAATATACTTATCCTATTTTAAATACATGGGAATGATTACAACTATGTGTAGGACCAAAAAAAGGTCCTGCGACGTGGATCATTATAACATAAAGCAACAAAAAAAATTGACAACAATATAAATTTGACTAGAGGATGCTTATTAGGTATTTTTAACTGTTAAGTAATGCGCGCATAAAATATAATGAAGAATGCAAACAAAAGCATGAGTAAGTAATGTGTCTGCTAAGTCACAGAAATGTATACGCATTTTTAGAATTTACGTGTTGGTATTGTGTTTTTTTGTTTCTAAATTAAAAACGTGGATATTCAACATTACTTCACAGTGTATACTGTGTGCTTTAGTTCTACTAAAAGATGCACAGTGCCTTTTCTCACGCAGTCCGTCTTAAATTTTAACAAGAATTCTTCGTGGAGAGTCCTTTTGTTTTCTAATCAAAGTCTGATAACGCCGTCAGCTGGGAAACAACGGAACCTTATCCAACGCCCCAGCAATAAAACCTATCTGCATAACAAAGTTCTCGAAAAACTATTTCTAAAAATGGCATGCACCGAAGCTGCAGTTTGCACATTATGCTTAAAATAACATTATGAGGGAAAGTGCTGGATTTTTGATAAAATAATTTAAAGCATAGTTGAAAGTAGTAGTTTAGTAAAAGGTGTCTTTTTCCCTTGGAAACGACGAGAATAGAACGTTTTAATTCAAGTACTAACCAAACATACAAAACTGAATATTTCTAAAAGGCTTTATATGTTTTATTAAAACAAGAAAGAAAGTCACAAAGATTAAAAGAATTGTTTAGTTTTAAATTGGCGATTGTGCAGAGTCTTTACAGTAACTATACTTTGTGAGAATGGTATTGTCACCGGACTTTCCATTTTTTTCATTTTCTATCAACAAGTTTTGTATGCTTAAACAGTTTGTTCAAATATTATTAATAATCCTTCTGTTGCTTTTCTCCCTCCAAAAAAAAGAGGCCCATGAATTTGTTTATAATAGAAGCAGCTGGTTTAGTACAGTTTTGTATTATTTTAAAGTACGAAATAAATAGTTGTGAACAAGGTTTACTTTTGGTCAATAACTTCGAAGTAAAGCAAAACAAAGTCATTTATTTCGAAGAAGATTGATAGTTTTTGGGAAATACGTGTGGGTGAGCTAAAGGTGGTAATCGCGTAGCTTAAAGTTAGCTTTCGTTTTGGTATTCAACCGTTTTTGTCAAATAGCTTAACAAAAAATCGAAAGTTAAATTTTTCATACGTGATTACCCCAAGATCAAAGTAATTTTCCACGAACGCCTATAATAAACCGGCGAATATAACTCTGGCGTTAACAACGAACGAACATCGGTTCTTTATAAGGCGACATTGGAATTCGTAATACAATAACAATTAAAACTTTAGGAAGAAGAAGAAGGATGGGTTTTTCAAAAGAACTGCAGGTGTCTACAAAGCTCATTTAGAACCGCCGATATGTGATATAAGAGAAAAACTTGATCTGAAGCTTAACATCGTAGGCGGAGTTCAGCCCTTCTCCGCGATACAAGAAAGTAAAACTGGACACTGGCACCACTCCCCCACTGAAAGTGTGCGAGATATTAATCAACGCGGCATACATCTTATAATGAGCTGGGAAAAGGATACGCAAGGTCACAAAACAGTAGCTGACGCATTATTTTTTACGGTACTTAAAACAAAGGAGTTAAAACGAACCTTTTCAGGCGACCCATCCGTTGGATTTTCATATTATGTTCTCTTTGTAAGCTTGTCAAAAAGGCTCGCTGGAAACAGAATTGTTCACAATAGAGAGATGGGACATGGGGGTTGTAGCTATTTCGACCAGGTTGATAGTGTTGTTAAAATTAGGACATCGAATCTATTTGATGCTGGAAATGGATTAAAACCTGCGTATATTGAAAGTAAAGGCTTAGAGCCCAACTCCGTAAACGCAATGTCATAGCAAAATGCCTTAGGAGTAAAATTGAACCTTAAATTTTCTATTTCCATACTTATAACTCCTTAATTCAGCATTCCGTGCTGTTGTCAAAAATCTATTCTAGCATTTCGACAATCACCCCAAGAGCTTAATAATTCTCACTTTATATACTACTCCCAACTGCAATTTACTATGATTTTTGTAACTATTATTGCGATCACACTCATTGCTTATGCTGATAATTGTACAAATTAATTTTTTAGTTTTTAAACGTGCGACGAAAACAACAATGCATAAATTTTGTGAATGTACGGGTGAAAGACATAAGAAGTCTTCACTTAATCAGACTTACCACGAACAACCAATCGCACTGGTTGACTTGTTAAAGCATCCTGCGTTGTGAAATCACTTGCTGTCACCTGACATTCCCAAAGGCCGTCATCAAAATCCAATGTGGCCGAACGAATCCATAACGAACAATCGCCGCCAATCTGCATAGGTGGCGGATGAAGATCCAAATGTAAACTACCACCGGACGGTGTTGAAGGACGGGCAGCCCACTCGTACTTCTTAGCATAAATGCCAACAGGCTGCAAGTAAAAAATAAAGGGAAAATATAAAACATAAATGTATCGAGTGAAGCATGGCATGAAAAATATGATGGGCAAAAGAGTAATTGGAATAAAGGTATAAATGAGTGAAGCATATATACAGGAAGGGCACATCATAAACTTAACGTTGTTGGTTTGTGTGGGTCTTGCCGAAATGAATAATATAAAAGCGTTTCTAAGGCTTGTAGCCTCCTAGCATGTGCAGTAGTGTCTTATCCAAACAAAGGAATCCTAAGTATAATAAATGGTTTTGAATGAGAAATTCGATAATTCAATAACGTAACTTAGATTTATGCTCTAGCTTTGCATTGTTTATAGGAAAAGTGGAAAAAGGCAAGCTGTGGTGAATGGAAAAAATTTTTCTGCCTCCTGCACATAAGCCCCAGATCTGTAGAGGTTGAAATTGCGCTTAACATCTTCCTCTGGCAACAACGTTGTTCTTTATTTGTAAAGCATTTGCATGTTTATGTTAAAAAGTTTGTATCACATTGTGCTTAGAGAAGTAGACACGGTTGTCTTTCTTTTCTGGCAGCAACAACAACAATGTGCTGATCAAATTGATTGATACACTTGCTTTCATCTGTTTGTTCATGGTTTCGTAAGACTTGATTACTTTGTTTATATTTCTGCTGCTACCGCTACTTAGCTTTGCTTATATTTTTGTATTGCATAATTTATTAGATTGCAATCGATGTTACTCCTGCTGCAACTGTTGTTGTCGTAAACTTTTGTTGTTACTATGATTGTGTTAACTCTTTGTACATTTTATAGTTTGCTTGCTAATTGAAAATTAAATTACAATTAGACTGTGAGCTGTGAGCAAAGTTCAAATTGGTATATTTAACTAACGTTGTTTTTAACGTTACTTTGGTCTTTGTTATTGCTTTTTGCACTTCTTTCATGTATTCAAAAGATAAGAGCGAATAAGACTTGCTTTAATGTAAAATCAAAGCTATCGACACTCGAAGACGATAGCCATGAAACATATGCAAAGGACCAAAAAAGAGACGGACGAAAGGCCAGACTGAAGCGAGCACAAACCAGCAGGCAATTTCAAATATGTTTTAGTATACGCATACATCCAAATACAAGTTAGAATCAAGCAAACAATAAAATTTAATGCATGAATGAGTAACTGAATGAGTGATTTGGTGACTGACATTTTCTGTCTTAAAACTAATTGCGCTTAATTTACATTCACTGAATTGCTTGTCCAAAGTCTTGAATGAGCCTGTGCACGTCTGCCTACATCTCCAGTAATTATTATAAACAAAGCAAAAGCAATTATATTAATAACAGACCAACAAGTTATAGTAACAACAACAGAAACAACAATACAAAAACCTTTAAACTGTGCTTAGAGAATTTTCTATTTGTTTTGTCTTTTTATTTCTCATGTTTGTTTGAAATCGGATTCTGCAATCATCAAGCAGAAGGTAAGGAGAATATAATGAACAAACAGTCTTATAGAAAGACCTAAGAAAGACCTTACGTTTAAACGAAGTTAAGCAACGAGCCGTCTAGAAAGTACATAAAGTACACATAAAGTAAATTATTTTCACTTCACTGAAACAATTGATTTAATTTCTTTCATTATACATTTCATTTTAGATTTCGTCAGCATATATCATAATTTTGACATGTCTATCACAAAGTGTCGGTGGTAGGTGCCGTTCCGTTCATGCACTGGCATATGAAATACTAAAACTTCGTAAAAAAGATACATATAGGTCCTATCTATCTACAGGAAGACATCGTAGAATTTCAAAGAAGGAATAATCAAATATAACGTAGAAAATTCATTAAATTCTCGGGACGACATACCAGGCAAAAGCCGCTTAACGTCTATAATAAATACAATTAAATACAATGACGACGGTTGAAGTCACACAAACATATGGCGATGACGTTACTTTTCTGCAATGAGCGAAGTTCTACTTTACCATAGGAATTGAAAAAGGATGTTAAGTATGGAAAGAATATAACATGTTTTAATTAAAATTGAAACACTGTCAAATTATTGTTTTTTGCGGTCTTTAAAACGCGTGGTTGCCACCAGCGTTTACTTCGTTATATCGAACTGCGGCTGAAACTTATCGAGTACTTATATTAGTCATTCGAAACCACCTTCAACTGAAAAAGCCATGAACTCATGAACACTGAAAAGGTTTAGCTGATAAAGCTGACCTCGTTCGACAATATTATTAGGTTTTTAACTCAGATCCCATTCTGTAGAAAAACTTTAAGTGTATTTATTTAAACGGATAACGTTATCCCCATTGCATATTTTTTAAATTATTTTGTTATTAACGACAATGCGTGGCGTATATAGAGGATGAATGTTGTTTTGCTTAAAAATAAGTAGGAAAAGCCCGATTGCTATTGTTGCTGGAAAATCCCGTTATGAACTTAATTTGTAAAAGCTTCTCCGTCATTTAATAATAATCGTGCTTGTGTAACATTGTTTTCTGTATCCTAATTCTCTCTGATTTTTTCAACTTATAATTGTGTTGCAACTGCTATCAAATATAATCTTGCGCTGCGCTGCCCATGGGAAACAACGCAAACATTAAAATTTCAATATTTTTTTCAATTTCTTTCAAAAAAAAAAAAAGATTAACATCAAGCAGTTGCAACAATATAAAACAACATCGACAGCCACAAACAACAATAAAAAACTCATAATGTATGCAGGGCGCATTAGTTAGTATTAAGAGCAACAGGCGCTGCGAATATTTAGTTTGAAAAGAGCTTGTTTCTCTTTAAAGCATATCAACTGCCAGCACCAATTACAAATTGTTTTACGCTTGCGTATTTCAAAATAGGAAAAAAAAAATGAGCAAAAAATTAACTAAACAAGTGAAATTGCGGTGAAAAGTGTGTTGCGTAGTAGATAATCGCAGAACCTCACTTATTACAGTTTTCATGCAAAGAAAATTTATTTAAAATAAATCAATACAAGTTTCAAGTCGAGGTATTAAATATAATTATTTCATACTCAAGACTTAAGAATGAACTGAGAAGTAGGCGAAGCTTACTATCTTAATAATCATCTTACTATATTGAAATGTTTGTGTCCCTCTGTTTTGTTCGTTTGTTAAAGTAGTCATACAGTAATCATACTCACTCTTAGGTGCGTCATCGTTTTGAACATCGAAGGTTATGGCACATTTTAAGACCGATGTGGTGTGTAATGCGCTTCAAATAGCTTAAACAATGTTACAAAAATAATTTAAAACAAATGTTTTTCATTTCCATTTCAGTGCTTATATAGTTAATATATAAAAACTTTATACAAACCAATTTTTTATTTTAGATACCATACTCCACTTCGTCACTTCACCATTCCTACTTTGAAGTCATGGTTTTATTGAAAGCTCTGATATTAGAGAATGCTCAAAACGTCAACTAACGTGGGTTAGGTATGGCTTAGTTAAGTTACTCGTCAAATATGATCTCAATTGTTTTCGTCATAAAAAACCACAGAAAAGGCTTGGTCGTCTTTCATGAGAGCTCGTATGTGGTGGTGGGGTCAAAAAAATAGCTCTACCTGATTTTCATACATACTTTCATACAATTAAATATTATGTTAAGCCACTTTTATGACCAAATTTTCATTATGCAATATCACAAAGCTGGTCACCTTTGCCATATAAAAGCTTATTTTACATTAGAATCCATTAGTTTGGCAACTGCCCGCGGGCGATGTGGTCTTACTGTTTTACTTTGCGTAAACAAATTTTCCAATTTCTTTTCTTTATCTTGTTTTTATTGGTTCATATGCGTTTAAAGCTTAATTAACTATAAAAATATAAAAAGGTGTCAGTGACCGTGCGGCAGACGCAGTCCTAAATCCCTCGAAAGGATAACATTGGTCATGTCTCGACTGCAGGAAGCGGGATATAGCCTTTTATGAGCCCTTCACGGAGACAAGGGGTGGGTTTCCTGAATTAAGCGAAATTCTCGGCTTTGTTCGATGGGTGTTGTAACCTAGAGCACCCATCTTTTCCTTCAGCCTGTATAAGGCCAACTTGTAGTGCAGCATATGGTACTTCATCCCCGTCTTCGCTTAAATTTGATTCGTCGACTCATGTGATTGCTCCATCCCTGCCTACACATAAGGTTAGCGTTTCCCCCATCGTTGTGGCAGCCAGTAACAAAAACGTTACAAATAAGCTGGAAGACCCTCCTCATTTTAGCTATGCTGAAATGGCAAGGGTATCTCCTCCTAGTGCTGCCTTTCAGGCTACTCTATCTACATCTCCAAAGAATATTTAAAAAAATTAAAAATTCGCCTCTGCCTTTGGCTGCTCAGATGTGTCCGCTGCTCACCATGCTGGGCATGTCGCAGAAACTGCACGTGCTTGTGTGGTCATCGCCTCTATATTCTCGGCAAGTCCAAATTCTATGTCTACGAATCCTACCGTTCCTAATACGGACGACGTTTGCTTGACGGCAGTACTCTCCATAAAAGCGATATTCTAGTCGAGACATGACACACGTGCATATGACCTCTGAGCATAACATAAAATTTATCTGGTTGCAAAAGTCCCATCCGTCAGCTTGAAGCGTGTAAGCATTTTTAAATTGAATCCATTTCAACCTAGTGCTAGAACCATGGTAATTTTGCTAAAGAAACCATTGCGGACAGTTGGACTCGTAATTAAGAAATTCATTCCTCGCGATAGACCCTGTAATAAGTCGATAGCTCTTCCACTCTTGAAAAGTAAGTGTTTCTCCAGGCAACGTAACTTTCACTTACCAAAATGTTAGGGGCCTTAACTCAAAAATTCGCTCTATTCGCCCAAATACAGTAAGCACGGAGTTTTCCTGTTTGGCCTTCACTGAAACTTGCTTAAAGCCTGATTTACATACGTCGGAACTTTTGACAATTCGCTCTTGGCTTTCAGGATGGATTGATTAAATCACCAATAAACCTTTATACGGAACTTTCCCCTTTCTCCCACGTTCTTCAATGA